AATCAGACCCTTGTGGTATCCTTCCGGTCACTCCGGAAACCACTCCCAATGCACTTCAAATCCTCCCAACGCACTTAGAGAAATTCCACGACTCGGATCACTGCTGGCAGTGGAAGGTGCCAAAGGCAGAGAGGGCAAGAGACGGAAAAAGGGGTGAATCCGTTGGTTCGCCACCACGGATCGGACCAACCTAGTCTTGAAATGGCGTCGGCCCAATTACTCTTAGACGGAATGTATTCCCAATACATCCAAGTACGCAAGGCGTACAGCATGACATGAATCAAACCGCAAATGCGCTCCAGATCGGGTGACTGGGAACGGCCCCGGATCAGACACATGAGGCTAGCGACGTTATCGATCAGCCAAATGCCTCGACGACCCCGAAAGGCCTGCGCCCGATATGTGAGGGCATAAATGATCATCACCATCTCCAACTGGGCTATCTGCCTATCACCAGGCTCCCACAGCTGGTAAACTTCCGGAGGAATGTTGGCGATGAAGGCTTCCCGAACCGGTCCCACCGGATCGTGCCATACGATTAAAAATCCTCCTGTGCCCTGCTTTGGTTCCTCCAAAGCTGCATCAGAAGCTACAACAAACCGCAGACACTCGGACGGCCTCACAGAAAGTTCGCGACAGGGTCGATGGCGAAGGATGGAGTGAATCACATCGAAGTTGCGCTGAAGCTCTGGAGTGAGGTCGCGGTTGCGTTCTGTCTAGCGTGCTTTGATGGCTGCCAAGCCTGCGCAACCCAACCTTCCGTACATGCCCTGCTCGAGAAAATTGAGCATGCCGTAGAGCTTGGATGCCTGGCCTGAGGACAGACTATTGTGTGCCTGAGCTTCGGTAATCATCGCAGCTGTCTTCTGAATCAATCGATCTCGGGCCCAAAACGTCACGAAGCCCCGGCTGAGGTTCGTAAAGTCGTGATCAAGGCCCAGAAAGGTACCGGTAGGCTGCATCAACTGTTTTTTCTCCTCGGCGAACGGGGTACCTAGGAGGGAATTCAACTGACAGAAAGCTTGTTGGCTGGAGCCGAATCCTGACTGGAGGTCCGTGATGTGGGCATCATCGAAATAGAGCGACACCAGACTGTAGGTAAGCCGTCGGCCCAGGGCTTCAATGAAGCGGGAATACCGATTGAACGATGTAACCGCGAGCGGAAGGCCGAAGAGGAGGGATGAATACACCTGAAAGGCGGGTTCCTCCCGCTCAGCATGCCAGAAGCAGACGATACAGCCGCGGCTCTCTGCCTGACTGATAGGGGAATGCCGATAGGCGTTCGGCCAATCTTCCCCTCCTGACAGCCACTCGTCGTCAGTCGTAAGAGTGTGCCACTGTTCGTCTGTCAGAAGCGAGGCTACCGCCCCCACATGTTGTGCCGGGCGCAGTGGCGAGCACAAGACCAACTTGTTCCAATCCGAAGAACGCTCAGACTGGCCTCCTGTATCTCCATTGTCAATAATCCGCTTTTTGCCCGAGGATTGCACAATCACACATCTGGGGATGAGGCGGAATGGTTCTCCTCGTAGTTCTCGTAGTAGCTGCGCATGGGTCAACGGTGCAGAGCAGAAACCCTGGGCGGCATCGTTCAGCGATTGCTCCAGCAGCACGGCATCATGTCTGCCGGGTTTGAGCGAGGCCAGAGTCTTGTAGTTGTGGGTTTCCCAGTCGTCGAGCACGTCCTCCATGGTGAGGATACGACCTGGCTGTTCCGGAAAGACCCCGTAGGGTGGTGCCGTACCTACAGCTGGCAGTCCCGCTACCAAGCCGTAAGGGTACGTGATATCCGCCCAGGAAGTCAGGGTAACCAAGAGGGCCGTTAGTCCGATGTCCCGGGAACGGGTGACTGCCCGAATCGCTGATGTTTGGAAAGTCCGCAGGCGCTCGCCCACGCTCCTCCATCGCTGCTTCAGCTCCTTCAAGATGCCTAGGCTCTGCTCGCGGAGTCGTGGTAGGTCCTCGGAACGTGATGCATAGAGTTCGGCCACAAACCAAAGATCATCGTCCAGGAGAACCGACTGCTCAGTCGGGATGGGTGCCTGGCTTCGAAGGCAAGCTCGCTGAAAGTGGGTATCCGGGTCCAGCCCAAAACTCAAAAGCGGAGGTAGGGCGGCTTTATGGCTCAAAGCTCCGGCTTGCTGGCCTTCGGCATGACGCTGCCGCTGTCTCAAAGCTGCGCTAGCCAAATGTGGTCCCAGGGGCCCATCTGCCTTGAGATCGTGCTGGTCTCTCCAGCGTGGAAACTCACAGAACGGTGCCTGGTTCAGGAGGTCTTCGATCATCGGGAACTTGAAGTCCTGGAACCATGTACCTGGGAAGAGGCGGCGGAAGCACGTGACAACGCCTTCTTGGGTGAATAGGCCAACTCGTGCTGGGATGCTCGCGGCCACTCCTCGGCTTGAGATGACCCCCAACCGCAATGCTCGGGATGCTGTCGAGTGATGCCTCTGGGTTTGCCCGCCTGCCGCTGCCAGGTAGCGAGGTGCTTCCGGGGCTGTGGCGTCAAAAACCAGTCCTGCCAGCGCATCGGCTTCGCAAACGTCGCTGTCATGTGGGCAATCACAGGCTAAGGTGCAGCCCGCCAGCTCTGGGAGTTCCGCCGCCTTGGATGACATGATGAACTCAACATAGCAAGGAAGCCATTCATCTGCGGTACAATCATGTCCTGGGGTGTACGGAGAGCACCATTTCGACAGGGGCAACTTGTGGCTGTGATGCCCTCGCCCTACGTAGATGCACTTGGCGGGAAGTTGGCCATCCACCAAGAGGTCAACGGCTCGGCGCACGCGAGGCACCCGTGCACGCTCGCGCGGGTCGAGTGGTCGCAGGCCCAGCTGGATCGCCAAAGGAGTCATGGCCCAGCTGCGCATCGAGCGGGGATCATAGTGAAGCCAGTGTTCCCGGCGGCCCACAGCCTCAGTCGGCGGCATCCGAGGGACGCGCAACTTGGCTCGACCGACACGCACTGCCCACCAACTAGTGGACACCGCAATGGCGAAGGCCAGCGGGGCTGTGTACTCGGCTTCCTCATGGCTAGGGAAAACTCGCTGCCCATCCAAGGTGTATGGCTTCCACTCATCTGGGTCGTGCTGA